GCTTGCTTGGTGTATCATTTTCTGTCATCTTACTTTCACCCCATCTGTCTTTTGATTTAAAGCACATCTCTTAGGCATAGTAGATAGGTGGGTATTACTTTTTAAATGCAGTCTAACATCTCTGCCTTTTAATTACAATGTTTAGTCAATTAACATTTAATGTAATTATTGATATGGTTGATTTAGGCCTATCACTTGTTATTTGTATTCTATTTATCCCATTTGTTTTTTCTCTTCTCCTGACTTCTTTTTGGAAAGTCAGAGTGAAGTCTTCATTCTTTCTTTTCTCTCTCCCTCCCTTCCTTTTTCCTTGCCATCTTCTTCCACCTTTATTTTGTTGAGGTATTTCACTTGCATTATATTTTTAGAACTTTCTATAAGGATTAAAATATAAATTCTCAATTAGTTCTTTTAGAATTAGTATTTTATCATTTCACATGAAATTTAATAATCTTGCTTGAATGTAGTTCTGTTGATTCTCTTTTAAGTCTTTTTCCCTGCCCTAGCTGTGGTAGCTGCTTCCTCCAGTTATTATTACTATCATAATCCAGTAGTTTTCTTGTTGTTGTGTTTTACCATCCCTCCTATGCTTGTGTGATTAACTTATTTCTGCTGATATATCTACTGTGGTATATTTTTCTGATTGGACACTGGTGGGTACAATACTCAGTAATGGAAAGGTTCACAAGAAAAAGTCCCTCAAAAATTTCTGGACTTTTCCCCCACTAGCCTTGAACAGAATGCTGAATTCCTTGTTAATCAATGGCAAATGGGTTACTAATAACCCATAGTATACAGTGGTGATATGATTAAATTGTCACCTATGGTTGACTATGATGAAGTGCACACTGTATTAAGTGCTTTGGGGATGAAGTGAATATTGGACTTGACTAATATGGCCATAATAATGATTCTAAGAACCCAGATAGCTGCTGACAATGGCATATTGACAATCACAAGATCAAGTTTTTAAATTCTCAATTTAAATGTTCAGACAACTAGGATGATTTTTATAGAGAATCTAGAGGAATCCATATATCAGACTAATATTGATGAAAATTAGACTTGGAACATAGTTGCATGGGTTTCAGAAATATAACATAAGCTGAAGTCACAGACACACCAAGTTTCTACCTGGGTTGACTTGTTTGCAATTGAGACTTGAACTCCTAAGTCTCTCTAGGCCTCCCTTTTAGAGGAAGAAATCTTTTTTTAGTTTGGTAATATCATCTTTCCCTATCTTGAAGATCCAGTAGTAACTTCATCGAGAGCAGAAGCCTTGCAAAGGAATGCTTATTCTTCTCCTGCTGCTTAGCCACATCTCTGTTGTCTCTGTTTAACCTAAAAAAAGTAGTTTATATTCCCAAAATATTGCAATATGTTCCTAGCTTTTAGCAGCATAAATCTGCCTGGAACACATTTAGGAATGGATTTCAGAGGTGTGAAAGCAAGGATGGAATATAAAGCTGGATCAAAACAAATTTATTATATAGGTGTATAAGTATATTTACTAGAGTTGATGGAACTAATAATGCTAGAAGTGACTGAAACTTAGTTTATTGGATTAGGTGACTTTGATTCAAAAATGGCCTATATTTAGTGATGTTGAAGCATCACTCTATAGAAATTTGACTACAAATGGTTGCTGAGTTGAGAATATGGGAATGTGTTTATCACACAAAAACTCCATACTCTTCCTTCCCACTTCCTCTATGTCCTCTCAAAGATCTTTGGAGACATTCTCTTTATTAAGGCATTATTAAGGAGTTTTTTTTTTTAAGATGTTGCATTAATGAGAGAGCATTGGCATCTTTGAAAACCATTATGGTGGCTCCTTCTGCACAGATGAGCTGCAGTTCTATGCACACACAATAGATGTTCTACCTGATTTCCATGGGGATCCTGGAGAATTAGTGGCCAAGGAGCAGCTCTCAATTGTTAGCGACAAAGTAGACACAATTATTGTAAGAGGCAGCAGGGACAAAGAGGTAAACAGAATGACCTGCTGATCTCCTTAACAGTGCCTAACTGATTACTGTGTCTCCAGGAATGAAATCTATGGGCATCCCACTAAGATAGTACTTCCTCTATATAGCAGAAAAATTCTAAGTGTGTTGTCTGGACTTTAATTTGAATGGAAAAAATGAAAAGTCTTAGCATCTTACTGAGTGTTCAGGCATAAAGCCAGATCTTGGAGCGCCTGAGACCCTTGCTGATTGAAGGGGAGGCTGGTTCCCTTGAGGGCATACATGCAACCCTGCTGCAACCGTATTCTGTAAATATTCCTCCAGGCCTTCCCCAAAGGGGCCTTTGGCTATTTTCTAGGCTTACCGTGCACTGGGGGAAAGGAAATCTTCAGATCTTACAGCGATTTACTAGACACTGAATTGGCTCTGAAATGATACTAATAGCTGGGTCTCCACTAGTCAAAGTGGGAACTTCTGGTGATCAGGTGATAAATGAAAGTTTGGCATAAATCCATCTCACAGAATGTTCAGTGACCTGTGGACACTCCCTGTAGTTTTCCTCCCAGTTTCTGAACATTTAAGTGTAATAGAATACTCGGTGGCTGGCAGAAACCCACATTGGCTCCCTGACCCTGGGAATGAGGGCTATTGTTCCAGCGGTTTAGTTTCAACTTCCCAAATAAACTGTAAGTTGCCAAGTATAGTAAATCTCACTTGACTGACTGTCAAATCCCCCTAATGCTTGGAAGAGTGCTTCAATATTCGGTACTCAACAAATTTATTGGTATTAATTTTATGAAATAATTTTCAGATCTCAAAGTGTTTAGGAGAAAAGTGACTTGTGGGGTGGGCTGGAAGAGGGACTGATGTTCTAGATGGATGGACAAGTATCCAACTTTAGGAAAGGAACATAAGAATCTTTACTCCGATACTTGCTTCTATAGGGTCTAAAGGTTTAAAGAGGCATTTATAAAAACCCACCGTTATATAAGACATGCTGTTTATGTTTATTGTTTAAAATATCATTCAATCTTTATGACATCACTGTAAGTTTGTTTTCTTATTTCTCTTTCATAATTGGGGAAACTGAAACTTAGGTAGGTTAAATAGATGATTCTGCATCACCTACTAAGTGGCAGAATAGGGGTTTAAACCCAGTGTTTCTGACTCAAAATATAAGGTGTTTTCCATTGTACCTTAGTTCTTCGGCAGGAATTATGTCTTGTTTTTCTTATACTACAGGATATTACCTTTCCTAAGGAAAGAAAATACTTCTTGTCTCATTAGCACTTAAAATTTCAGCTACTACTTTGACCTGGGTAGGGGCATGGGAAGGAGGAAGAAGAAACTATTTTGTCTTTAACCCTAGGGTCAAGCAGTGACCTAAGACCTCTCTCTTTCTACTGTGTAGCCCACAAAGGTAATTAAGGAACATTTAAATATGACTTTACAAAAGGAATTGAGTATAATAAAAGGGAGACAAACTCCAAATCGATATGAAACTTGATCACTTTCCTTACAAGAAGTGGCTTGCACTCTGTGGCCTCATGTCTTATTCTCAGGGAATTTCTCCATCATACTTTTCTTCCTTCACAAAATGTTTGCAACTAGCTCTCATCACCTGGAAAGTTCATTCACACATTAACAGTGTCTGCACCCATGCCTGCCAGAGGTCACCTCCAAGAGAGACAAGTAGGTTCCTTCAGATCCAGAAGGGCTTTTGGAAGAAGACCCTGTGTCCCAACTGCTCTTCCTTGACTAAAGTCTGCCAGGTTACTTTGCCACCTGTCTCAACTATGGAAGTGTGGCCTTGAAGGCCCAGTTAGGAAAGCTACTTCAATGTGACATGAGCACTCCACTACTCATATAAAATCTACCCATTTACCATAAAGGACATGGTATTTTTTGTACCTTGTCATACTCTTTGTCATGGTACCGCATATGGGGACTTGTGTCATTTCTTAGGATCAAGGACATTAAAAGGGCATAGTTTGAACCAGATTCTCCTAGAGCATAAACTATTTCCTGAGAGTATGTTAAGACATCTTTGCAGTTGTCTGGTTTGAGATTTTAATATAATAGATGCACGATCAGGATGCTCTCTGAACTGATAGCCCATGGTGGAACTCAGTGGTGACCTATCGTGAATCCCCCTGGCAGTCTCAAGGAACAGGCAAGGCAATGGG